GTTGCACGGTGGTGGTACAGGGGTGCTTTGACAGCAAGGAGGTTGCACGGTGGTGGTACAGGGGTGCTTTGACAGCAAGGAGGTTGCACGGTGGTGGTACAGGGGTGCTTTGACAGCAAGGAGGTTGCACAGTGGTGGTACAGGGGTGCTTTGACAGCAAGGAGGTTGCACGGTGGTGGTACAGGGGTGCTTTGACAGCAAGGAGGTTGCACGGTGGTGGTACAGGGGTGCTTTGACAGCAAGGAGGTTGCACGGTGGGGGTACAGGGGTGCTTTGACAGCAAGGAGGTTGCACGGTGGTGGTACAGGGGTGCTTTGACAGCAAGGAGGTTGCACGGTGGTGGTACAGGGGTGCTTTGACAGCAAGGAGGTTGCACGGTGGTGGTACAGGGGTGCTTTGACAGCAAGGAGGTTGCACGGTGGTGGTACAGGGGTGCTTTGACAGCAAGGAGGTTGCACGGTGGTGGTACAGGGGTGCTTTGACAGCAAGGAGGTTGCACGGTGGTGGTACAGGGGTGCTTTGACAGCAAGGAGGTTGCACGGTGGTGGTACAGGGGTGCTTTGACAGCAAGGAGGTTGCACGGTGGGGGTACAGGGGTGCTTTGACAGCAAGGAGGTTGCACGGTGGTGGTACAGGGGTGCTTTGACAGCAAGGAGGTTGCACGGTGGTGGTACAGGGGTGTTTTGACAGCAAGGAGGTTGCACGGTGGTGGTACAGGGGTGCTTTGACAGCAAGGAGGTTGCACGGTGGTGGTACAGGGGTGCTTTGACAGCAAGGAGGTTGCACGGTGGTGGTACAGGGGTGCTTTGACAGCAAGGAGGTTGCACGGTGGTGGTACAGGGGTGCTTTGACAGCAAGGAGGTTGCACGGTGGGGGTACAGGGGTGCTTTGACAGCAAGGAGGTTGCACGGTGGTGGTACAGGGGTGCTTTGACAGCAAGGAGGTTGCACGGTGGTGGTACAGGGGTGCTTTGACAGCAAGGAGGTTGCACGGTGGTGGTACAGGGGTGCTTTGACAGCAAGGAGGTTGCACGGTGGTGGTACAGGGGTGCTTTGACAGCAAGGAGGTTGCACGGTGGTGGTACAGGGGTGCTTTGACAGCAAGGAGGTTGCACGGTGGTGGTACAGGGGTGCTTTGACAGCAAGGAAGTTGCACGGTGGTGGTACAGGGGTGCTTTGACAGCAAGGAGGTTGCACGGTGGTGGTACAGGGGTGCTTTGACAGCAAGGAGGTTGCACGGTGGGGGTACAGGGGTGCTTTGACAGCAAGGAGGTTGCACGGTGGTGGTACAGGGGTTCTTTGACAGCAAGGAGGTTGCACGGTGGTGGTACAGGGGTGCTTTGACAGCAAGGAGGTTGCACGGTGGTGGTACAGGGGTGCTTTGACAGCAAGGAGGTTGCACGGTGGGGGTACAGGGGTGCTTTGACAGCAAGGAGGTTGCACGGTGGTGGTACAGGGGTGCTTTGACAGCAAGGAGGTTGCACGGTGGTGGTACAGGGGTGCTTTGACAGCAAGGAGGTTGCACGGTGGTGGTACAGGGGTGCTTTGACAGCAAGGAGGTTGCACGGTGGTGGTACAGGGGTGCTTTGACAGCAAGGAGGTTGCACGGTGGTGGTACAGGGGTGCTTTGACAGCAAGGAGGTTGCACGGTGGTGGTACAGGGGTGCTTTGACAGCAAGGAAGTTGCACGGTGGTGGTACAGGGGTGCTTTGACAGCAAGGAGGTTGCACGGTGGTGGTACAGGGGTGCTTTGACAGCAAGGAGGTTGCACGGTGGGGGTACAGGGGTGCTTTGACAGCAAGGAGGTTGCACGGTGGTGGTACAGGGGTGCTTTGACAGCAAGGAGGTTGCACGGTGGTGGTACAGGGGTGCTTTGACAGCAAGGAGGTTGCACGGTGGTGGTACAGGGGTGCTTTGATAGCAAGGAGGTTGCACAGTGGTGGTACAGGGGTGCTTTGACAGCAAGGAGGTTGCACGGTGGGGGTACAGGGGTGCTTTGACAGCAAGGAGGTTGCACGGTGGTGGTACAGGGGTGCTTTGACAGCAAGGAGGTTGCACGGTGGTGGTACAGGGGTGCTTTGACAGCAAGGAGGTTGCACGGTGGTGGTACAGGGGTGCTTTGACAGCAAGGAGGTTGCACGGTGGTGGTACAGGGGTGCTTTGACAGCAAGGAAGTTGCACGGTGGTGGTACAGGGGTGCTTTGACAGCAAGGAGGTTGCACGGTGGGGGTACAGGGGTGCTTTGACAGCAAGGAGGTTGCACGGTGGTGGTACAGGGGTGCTTTGACAGCAAGGAGGTTGCACGGTGGTGGTACAGGGGTGCTTTGACAGCAAGGAGGTTGCACGGTGGTGGTACAGGGGTGCTTTGACAGCAAGGAGGTTGCACGGTGGTGGTACAGGGGTGCTTTGACAGCAAGGAGGTTGCACGGTGGGGGTACAGGGGTGCTTTGACAGCAAGGAGGTTGCACGGTGGTGGTACAGGGGTGCTTTGACAGCAAGGAGGTTGCACGGTGGTGGTACAGGGGTGCTTTGACAGCAAGGAGGTTGCACGGTGGTGGTACAGGGGTGCTTTGACAGCAAGGAAGTTGCACGGTGGTGGTACAGGGGTGCTTTGACAGCAAGGAGGTTGCACGGTGGTGGTACAGGGGTGCTTTGACAGCAAGGAGGTTGCACGGTGGGGGTACAGGGGTGCTTTGACAGCAAGGAGGTTGCACGGTGGTGGTACAGGGGTGCTTTGACAGCAAGGAGGTTGCACGGTGGTGGTACAGGGGTGCTTTGACAGCAAGGAGGTTGCACGGTGGTGGTACAGGGGTGCTTTGACAGCAAGGAGGTTGCACGGTGGTGGTACAGGGGTGCTTTGACAGCAAGGAGGTTGCACGGTGGGGGTACAGGGGTGCTTTGACAGCAAGGAGGTTGCACGGTGGTGGTACAGGGGTGCTTTGACAGCAAGGAGGTTGCACGGTGGTGGTACAGGGGTGCTTTGACAGCAAGGAGGTTGCACGGTGGTGGTACAGGGGTGCTTTGACAGCAAGGAGGTTGCACGGTGGTGGTACAGGGGTGCTTTGACAGCAAGGAGGTTGCACGGTGGTGGTACAGGGGTGCTTTGACAGCAAGGAGGTTGCACGGTGGGGGTACAGGGGTGCTTTGACAGCAAGGAGGTTGCACGGTGGTGGTACAGGGGTGCTTTGACAGCAAGGAGGTTGCACGGTGGTGGTACAGGGGTGCTTTGACAGCAAGGAGGTTGCACGGTGGTGGTACAGGGGTGCTTTGACAGCAAGGAGGTTGCACGGTGGTGGTACAGGGGTGCTTTGACAGCAAGGAGGTTGCACGGTGGTGGTACAGGGGTGCTTTGACAGCAAGGAGGTTGCACGGTGGTGGTACAGGGGTGCTTTGACAGCAAGGAAGTTGCACGGTGGTGGTACAGGGGTGCTTTGACAGCAAGGAGGTTGCACGGTGGTGGTACAGGGGTGCTTTGACAGCAAGGAGGTTGCACGGTGGGGGTACAGGGGTGCTTTGACAGCAAGGAGGTTGCACGGTGGGGGTACAGGGGTGCTTTGACAGCAAGGAGGTTGCACGGTGGTGGTACAGGGGTGCTTTGACAGCAAGGAGGTTGCACAGTGGTGGTACAGGGGTGCTTTGACAGCAAGGAGGTTGCACGGTGGTGGTACAGTGGTGCTTTGACAGCAAGGAGGTTGCACGGTGGTGGTACAGGGGTGCTTTGACAGCAAGGAGGTTGCACGGTGGTGGTACAGGGGTGCTTTGACAGCAAGGAGGTTGCACGGTGGGGGTACAGGGGTGCTTTGACAGCAAGGAGGTTGCACGGTGGTGGTACAGGGGTGCTTTGACAGCAAGGAGGTTGCACGGTGGGGGTACAGGGGTGCTTTGACAGCAAGGAGGTTGCACGGTGGTGGTACAGGGGTGCTTTGACAGCAAGGAGGTTGCACGGTGGTGGTACAGGGGTGCTTTGACAGCAAGGAGGTTGCACGGTGGTGGTACAGGGGTGCTTTGACAGCAAGGAGGTTGCACGGTGGTGGTACAGGGGTGCTTTGACAGCAAGGAGGTTGCACAGTGGTGGTACAGGGGTGCTTTGACAGCAAGGAGGTTGCACGGTGGGGGTACAGGGGTGCTTTGACAGCAAGGAGGTTGCACGGTGGTGGTACAGTGGTGCTTTGACAGCAAGGAGGTTGCACGGTGGTGGTACAGGGGTGCTTTGACAGCAAGGAGGTTGCACGGTGGTGGTACAGGGGTGCTTTGACAGCAAGGAGGTTGCACGGTGGGGGTACAGGGGTGCTTTGACAGCAAGGAGGTTGCACGGTGGTGGTACAGGGGTGCTTTGACAGCAAGGAGGTTGCACGGTGGTGGTACAGGGGTGCTTTGACAGCAAGGAGGTTGCACGGTGGTGGTACAGGGGTGCTTTGACAGCAAGGAGGTTGCACGGTGGGGGTACAGGGGTGCTTTGACACCAAGGAGGTTGCACGGTGGTGGTACAGGGGTGCTTTGACAGCAAGGAGGTTGCACGGTGGTGGTACAGGGGTGTTTTGACAGCAAGGAGGTTGCACGGTGGTGGTACAGGGGTGCTTTGACAGCAAGGAGGTTGCACGGTGGTGGTACAGGGGTGCTTTGACAGCAAGGAGGTTGCACGGTGGGGGTACAGGGGTGCTTTGACAGCAAGGAGGTTGCACGGTGGTGGTACAGGGGTGCTTTGACAGCAAGGAGGTTGCACGGTGGTGGTACAGGGGTGCTTTGACAGCAAGGAGGTTGCACGGTGGTGGTACAGGGGTGCTTTGACAGCAAGGAGGTTGCACGGTGGTGGTACAGGGGTGCTTTGACAGCAAGGAGGCGCACCACAAGGCGAGGGGCGTTGCTTGCGGAAGGTGATTGCTGAGGGGATCTGTTGGAGGGAAGGTGCTTGGATGTGAACGTGTGATTTGAGGAGTGAGTGTGGTGGACCGTTGAAGGGTGGGTTAAAACGTGTGTCGTGCATTGCGTGTTTTTATTCAAATGCATTCATATGCACTGCTCTTGCCTCCTCCATGCGCGCGGCTGTTGTTGAAATGTGTGTTCCTTCCACCCTGTGCTGCCATGCCGTGTGCTGTGCATGCGTGCAGGGAGGAGCTGAGGGCGTTTGAGCGGTCAATCAAAGGCGACATGGAGCAAGTCGACGAGCGGCAGGAGGAGGAGGAGGTGAGAGGAGGGGCCTTTGAATGACTGGGAAGATTGGAATCGATTGGAAAGGGGACACAGATGGGAGCTGAGGGCGTTTGAGCGGTCCATCAAAGGCGACATGGAGCAAGTCGACGAGCGGCAGGAGGAGGAGGAGGTGAGAGGAGGGGCCTTTGAATGACTGGAAAGATTAGAATCGATTGGAAAGGGGACACAGATGGGAGGTGAGGGCGTTTGAGAGGTCCATTCGAGGCGACATGGAGCACATTGATGAGCGGCAGGAGGAGGAGGAGGTGAGGGGGGAGGGGGGTCAAGGGAGAGGACAGAGAAGCCCTTTTCTGGTGTCTGTTGTGTCACATTGCCTTGTTGTCGCTGTGTGCCCCGTGGGTAGCACCCACATCATCCTCCACTTTGCCCCCTGCTGATCCAGCCCTCCAGGCAGCGTAGTTCCTCCACACCTCACCATTCCTCCACACCTCACCATTCCTCCACACCTCACCATTCCTCCACACCTCACCATTCCTCCACACCTCACCATTCCTCCACACCTCACCATTCCTCCACACCTCACGATTCCTTCACACGATACCATCCCACTGCATTTGCACTCCTTCCTATCGCCTGTCTAACCTTGTCCTGTAGCGTGCCTCCTCCTCCTTGCTCATTTTTGAGTCGACTCAAAAGTCAACTCGTAGCGTGCCTCTTCCTCCTTGCTCATTGCATTTCTCTCCTTCCTCTTGGTAGATCTCATGCCATACTCTTTCATTAGCGGTGGTTTGAAGTTTCATGACTCTTTCACCCCTAGTTTTGCAGAGCATCAATATCCCCCTTTTGTGTTCACCCATACCATGTCACCATGGAATGTCATTATGCTTCCCATGCGATGCCACTATAAAATGTCTGCCATGCCATGCCACCACGCCATGCCATGCCATCTTGCAATGAATCAGAGGGAGGCAGCAGATGAGCGCGAGGCGAGAGACCAACTCATGCAACGGTGAGAAGCATGCACGCACATTGGCATGGAAGCACACATGGGTGCAGCCGCACACGGTCGTGCACACACGCATGCCACCTGCACCACGCATCCTTCTCAGCACCATCCCCCATGCAGCTCTCGTTACTCTACGCGTGTAGCACATCGTGTGTGCCACCCCCCACGTGCCGCTCTGCCATGCCACATGCCACATACTGCCTACACTGCAACCCCCCCTGCCAAGAGTTTGCAGCTTGATTCACGCATCACAGCCCTCCTCCTTCCATGGAACCTCTTCTCCCATTCCCGCTTGGTCCAGTTTTGAGACGTCTCAAAAGTCCCCCCTTCCCCCCCAAACTTATTTCCCCATCCCCCCTTGGTCCAGGATTGAGACGTCTCAAAAGATGACCCCCCTTCCCCCCAAACTTCTTCCCCCATCTCCCCTTGGTCGAGTCTGCATCTAGAGTGCATCCAGCACAATTCATAGATTGAGGTGGTCTTTTAGGCGCCTCAAAAACCACCTCAACGCGTCAAGCACGTTTCATCGATTGAATGTTTTCTTGGACTGGTTAAGAAAGGAGGCGCTTGAAATTAAGTACAAACAAAAGTTGGGGTGAAGGAAGGAATGGATAGGATGAAGTATCACATTTACACCTACACAGCAACATACCTACTTCATGTAAGATAATGGTCAAATAGGTTGGCAGCCTGTTCCTAACAGCACTACCACCCCCCTCCTGCTCACATACCACCTAATATTCACTTTGTAACCCCCCTCTCCCCTCCCCCCGCCTCCCCCACCCCTCCCCCACCCCTCTCCCCCTCCCATTCCCACATGCTCAGTCTGCTTCTGGATCGTATTGAGCGGTATCGGCAGCGGCAAGCCCGGGAGCAGGGCGAGGCTGGAGAGAGGGGGGCTGGGGAGGGTGCTGTGATGAATGGTGTGGGTGGAAGAGGAGGGGAAGCGGCGGAAATAGAGGGAAGAAAAAGAAGTGTGGAGAGAGGGGAACAGGATGTGGAAGGGGAGGCTGGGAGCGGTGATGGGGATGAGAAGGGAGGGGAGGAGGATGGAACGGAAGGTAATTATGATGATGAGGAGGAGGAGGAGGAGGAGGAGGAGGAGGAGGAGGAGGAGGAGGAGGAGGAGGAGGAGGAGGAGGAGGAGGAGGAGGAGGAGGAGGAGGAGGAGGAGGAGGAGGAGGAGGAGGAGGAGGAGGAGGAGGAGGAGGAGGAGGAGGAGGATGAGGGAGACGAGGATGAGGATGAAGCGGGAGACGAGGACGAGGATGAAGAGGACGATGATATTGAAGCTGAAATTTTCGATTGGCGAGCCAAGCGCTTATGACCACATGTTTTATCCAGTGAATGCATGGTTTCTAGACCCGCTTGCAGAATTATAGACACCCCTTAACGAATCTGCCACATTCTCAACAGAAACTAGTGGTTTGTTAATAAACATGTAGTGCTAGTGCCATCTATATAGAGCACAGCAGCTGGCCAGTATTGACATGATGGCTGTTCTCAGAGGCTCACATGTGCTCGCCACACATTCCACAAGCTTTTGCTAAAGCGTGCAGCAATGTGTATCATCGGAATCATTATCTGGATTGGTAATCATGCTTCATACATACAAAGGAATATTGAAGTTATGGTAAATATGTCAATGGTAACTTATATGGGGCTAATACGGCTGACGTGTTTTCCCTCCGGTATTTTCGCAATCACCTCTGCGGGTGAAGGTGGGTCATTCTCCCATTCCCTGTTGTAATTTCGGAATCGCATGGTGACATGAAACGGAATCCGGGGAAACAGTCAGCGGAGCTGTTCAGGTGGGCACGAGTGACGGAAGAATGCCGATGAGCTGCAGGTGGCGAAGCAGGAAGCTTTCTGAGTCCCCTCCAGGGCTCTTAAATCAGAGGGTACTTATCCCTCTTCAGCCCGTGTTTCAGAGCGACCTTTTGTCACCGCTATGCGAATTCATGTGTTGGTGGATACCACCCTGCACTGCTTGAGCTACCAAAATACTACCCAAGAAGCCAAATCCACCCAGTTGGACTCTGCGATTGAACCTGCTAAACAACCCACACGAAATCAGCGTGTCCTTGGCTAATCTTTGTTGTACCTCTTTCCAGATGCCCCTTCTATAGCTCCATCACCATCCAATCCTTTTAAGTGCTCCTTGAGTGGTTTTGCGGAATAGTCAGTGTTTGCGAGAATTCACACTGTAAGTTCCGACACGAGCGAAATAAATAGCCCGCGATTTCGTGAGCAAGCTACTCGTGGCACTCTGCTTTGGCAGGGTGAACCTGGGTCACAACTCGTTTCTGAGCCTTCTGTGCTGTCAGTTTCAACTTCCAGGTCCCTGGAAGCACGTCATACGGCGCGATGTGCGCTCCATATCCAGTTGGCTTGGGCATGTGTGAATGATTTCTTGTAGGCGAGCATGGGACACAACGGTTTTACACATGTAGGTGCGGTTAAGAGGGGCGAAGATCTTGTTCCACAAATGTACCACATGCCTTGGCGCTTCTCTGCCCAGCCACGCGCCACACCTTTGGCACCGCCATACGGCGGACGACTACGGCAGCGTGAGAATACATATAGTGGTTTCCGTATTAGTCGATCACGCGAAGTTAATCAAGCCTATTTAACAGTTTCCTACCAGCCAGTCACTCTGCGATTGATTTTTTCTAGGTTAGTAGCTTACACATCGAGGTAGAACACATTGAAACTTTCGTGGCAACGATGGCGACGCGAAATCTCCACCGTGACGGTCTGCTCTTCCTCCTTGTGGTACTTCTCGGCGCTGTCGACGCGGCGCACGCGCAGTACTCTGCCTCGGCCGCGCTAAAGAACATCGAGACCAAACTATCAATTGTCGGAATGACGTCCTCGCTCCAGTACATGAGGGAATGTGGTGAGTTCTCCACCGTGCAACGTGGCGCGTCACGTGCACCACGGTGGCCGATCAGGTCCGATCGGACCTTGCGGCAGTGATGCTAACATTTCCAATTTTATTTTTGTCCATCTCAGGATTCAACAACTCGCTTCTAAAGAGCCTGTCCACAACGAAGACGACGCTACTCGTGCCAGTGAACAGCGCGTGGGGCAAGCTCGACTTGATAGCGTTGAGCTACCTCCGCAAGAATCCCACCAAAATGTGGCAGGTGTTTGCGTACAACATGCTCGCTGGATATTACACGCCCAATGTCCTCGCCGCGATACCCTACAACTCACAGGTGAGCACGGTTGCTCATTCCGGAAAAACTGAACTCTAAAGAGCCCCGCTCTTTACTAGTATAGTATTCGCCGCCTCCATCACGATGTGCAGATCTTCTCAAAATTCATGTGTTCATTTCCTCACCTCTTCTCCTTCTGCTTCCATATGTTCCCTCTTCCTAACCCCGCTCCTCTCTGCTTCTCACCCGCCCTGCAACGCCACAGATTTCGACGGGGCTTGGGGGGTCGATGATGGTAAAGCGCTTCCCGACGCAGGCCGTGAAACTTGGGAGACCCGACGGAAGCTTTGGCACCTATGTCAAGATGAACGTGTACGTGGACTCGCAGGTGGTGATATATGGGGTGGACAGCGTCTTGATGCCGCCTAAGTTTAGCTAAAAGCTCCATCTGCATTTTCCAGCACGCATTTGTGCCTTCATACAGCTTGCTTTGGGCTATGCAGAGCGAGATTGTATGAAAATTGTAGAGCTTGGTCATATATTTAAATCTCACCAACCAACCGAAACTAGCTTTCACGCCCAACCCAGCACACATATCATGCTGCATGCAGAATCATGCTGGGAGAACAATGGATTTACTAAGATGCAGGAAGAATCATGCTTGGCTCCAAGTCTGTGCTATGCCTAGGTAACCTACTGCTATGCTAACAAATAAGAGGCCAATGGTTTTGATCTTTACAAGCTCTCTTGTTATCAACGACATGACCACTTATGCTTCAAGACTGTGCCCTGGTTCTTCTTGGGAATCCTTCAAATACCGTTCGTAGCATTTTATGCTCAATCTCCAGTTTCGTTGGACTCTTAAACCAGTACATTATGGCATTGTGCCGTGTCACAATACTCAAAGGGGTAGTTGTTTGGCGCAACCATTGCTTCTGTGGTGATGGAAAAGGGCTTGTCGTAACTCGGCAGGTCATAATCCACTTGAATCCACATCGCCCGGTACCCCACCTGCCAACACATAACAAAACCAGCAAGCAGGAAACATGGGATTGAAATGAGATGTGTTATGAAAAACAAGCAAGCTAGTAAGAAATCCACATCCAGATGGAGTGAGTGACATATGGTGACATAATATGCAAAAACGTGCTTTACAGTCACAGGACATACAAAGACATGTGCAGTCACACGTATAGAGAGGTAAGGCACACAACATAAACTAAGCACACCAATACATACAGAGAAACGAGTGTGGGCCAGCAAAGCAGTGAAGATGTGCAAAACACATCATTTAGTGCAACACCCACATGGTGGGAAGGAGGGCCAGTTTGGTGAACACATGTTTGATCAATTGGACTCGCCACAAAAATGGATTTTGTGCAACCTACCATCCTGTTCTGCCTCTCACCATCCCGTGCTGCCTCTCACCATCCCGTGCTCCCGCTCACCATCCCATCCCACCGCTCACCATCCCGTCCTGCCTTGGTGCAGAATGAATCGGAAGTCGCGCCGCTTGCTGCCCATGAAGGTCTTCCCAGTCCTGCCAGCAACACACGCGTGCACGCATGGGGGGAGGCGGGGGGGGGGAGTGAATGGGAGAGAGTGGGAGAGAGTGGGAGACGTTGGGTGGGAGTAGGAGATAATGGAAGTGCGAAGGGGAAAGGGAGCAGGCTTGAGAAATCAGGATGGGGCCGTTGGGGGAAGTGGTCATAATTGGGGGCGTTGGGGGCGTGGGTGGAAGCAGGGAGCGGCGGTGAGTCCCTGTGTGCAGCTCAATGCCTCCCATGCCATGCCATGCCATGAGGTCAGAGTGGTCGGACGGGTCAATGTGGTCGGATTGGTCAGAGTGGTGAGATCAATGAGAGCAATGCTCAACACAATGCTCCCACCGCCATTCCCTCACCACCATGCTCCCACCGCCATTCCCTCGCCATGCTTCCACATTCCCGTACCATGCTTGCACAGCCACAGGTTTAACCTCTGACGTGGCATGGATGGTGTAGGAGGGCCAATCAAAGCGCCACGTCAGCTTGGGCCAGAGCACGTGTGTGAGCAGAGGGGAGCAGGTCCATGGCAGCAGCAGCGGAGGGGCAGCAGGGCGCCCCCCCAACGCCAGCGAGAACAGCCCCGCCCTTCCAATGCTGCTGCTGCTGCTGGTGTCGGTAGGATTGGATGAGGAGGGGGGTGAAGATGAGGGTTGGTGAGAGGAGGAAGGGGAGGAGGCGTTGGGTGGGAGCCAGGTGAGGGAGGGGCGGCTGGAGGGGGGCAGGGCGGCGCAGGAGGAGGTGTCGTGGAGCAGAGCGAGGAAGAAGGAGATGCAGGCATCGTAGCCCTGATGGGCGGGGAGTTGAGGAGGGGAGAGGGTAGGCGTGAGTGGGGGGATGGCAGTGCAATACAAAGGTGAGGAAGAAGCACAAGCAGGTAAGCAAGCAAGCAGGTAAGCAGGCGAGCAGGCAAGCAGGCGAGCAGGCAAGCATGCAAGCAGGCGAGCAGGCAAGCAGGCAAGCAGGCGATCAGGTGAGGCAGAGCGAGAGGCGGCTCACCCACTGCGAGGAGTGCAGCACCATGTGGTCGATGTTGGGCAGCAGCTTCAGAAACTTGGGCTCTGGCAGCCCCTCCCAGTAGTTGTAGCTGCCACGGGTGCAGGGGTGCAGGGGTGCAGGGATGAGCGGGGAAGAAAGTGCATTCCCAATAAGCAAGGTGAGCTTCAGGAAATTAGGCTCCGGTAGCCCCCCCCTCCCAGTAGTTGTAGCTGCCAGCGGTGCACAGGGGGGGGGGATGCGGGGCGGAGAGGTGGGTATTAGGTGGGAGGAGGTGCATTCCCAATGAGCAAGGTATGGTCTCAGGTCGTCGTAGACCGCACTCACTCACACTCCACTGCCCTCAGCTTCACCACTCCCAACCTCTGCTGCCTCCCCTCCCCCTACATGTCATCCACCCGTCACTTATGGCAAAGTACCCGCCCACCTATGGTCCAAGGCAGCGCTGCCTGCCTGCCGCCCACCTGTTGTCCACAGCCGAACTGCCTGTCACGTTTGAGAATCCTCAAAGGTCACACCAACATAGCTGGCAGATCCCCCTGTCACAGAGGCAATGCCTGCCTCTCACCCACCTATCGCGGAGGCCCACCTTTCATCGCGGCGCCCACCTGTCATTGCAGCCCCCACCTGTCATCACCGCACCCCACCTGTCATCGAGGGCAAAGAACTCGTCGTTGGCAGCAGAGACAATGAGCTTGGGCATGGTGAGGCGCTCGCGGTAGCTGTGTGCGTCCACCAGCTCCTGTGGGCGCGGGAGGGAGGGCGAGTTGGGTGGGATGGTTAGGTGGGGGTTTAGGTACAGGCCGGGTGACATCTTTTGGGGCGACTCAGAGGGAATAGTGAGGCGCTCGCGGTAGCTGTACGTGTCCACACGCGCCTGTAGGCACGGGAGGGAGGGAGGGAGGGGCGATGGAGGGGCGGGAGGGAGGGAGGGGGCGGGAGGGAGGGAGGGGGGGATGGAGGGGGCGGCAGGTACAACCCAGCCCGGCCGGGATCTTTTGAGGGGCTGGCAGTAGCTGTACGCGTCCACCAGCTCCTGTGGGCGCGGGAAGAAGAGGGAAGGCGGGCAGGTGCAGGTCGGCCAGCAGCTTTTGAGCCGACTGGAAAGGCTTGGTGGGGCGGCCATGGTAGCTGTATGCGTCCACCAGCTCCTGTGGGCGCGGGACGGAAGAGAGAGGGTGGGGGGGGGGGGGGGGGGGGGCGGGAGGAGAGCGGGCAGGTACAGGGCGGCCAGCAGCTTTTGAGTGGACTGAGAATGCATGGTGGGGCGGCCATGGTAGCTGTAGCACAGCACATGTGTGCGCACGCTGTGGTGTGGAGCTTCTTCCATGCATGGAGCTTCTTCCATGCATGGAGCTTCTTCCATGCATGGAGCTTCTTCCATGCATGGAGCTTCTTCCATGCATGGAGCTTCTTCCATGCATGGACAGGTGACAGCACATGTGTGGGTATGACAGCACATGTGTGGGTATGACAGCACATGTGTGGGTATGACAGCACATGTGTGGGTGTGACAGCACATGTGTAGGTATGACAGCACATGTGTGGGTATGACAGCACATGTGTGGGTATGACAGCACATGTGTGGGTATGACAGCACATGTGTGGGTATGACAGCACATGTGTGGGTATGACAGCACATGTGTGGGTATGACAGCACATGTTTGGGTATGACAGCACATGTGTGGGTATGACAGCACATGTGTGGGTATGACAGCACATGTGTGGGTATGACAGCACATGTGTGGGTATGACAGGACATGTGTGGGTGTGACAGCACATGTGTGGGTATGACAGCACATGTGTGGGTATGACAGCACATGTGTGGGTATGACAGCACATGTGTGGGTATGACAGCACATGTGTGGGTATGACAGCACATGTGTGGGTATGACAGCACATGTGTGGGTATGACAGCACATGTGTGGGTATGACAGCACATGTGTGGGTATGACAGCACATGTGTGGGTATGACAGCACATGTGTGGGTATGACAGCACATGTGTGGGTATGACAGCACATGTGTGGGTGTGACAGCACATGTGTGGGTATGACAGCACTCTCACAACGAGCTGATTGAAGTGCAGCTGGAATGCACTGCGAATGACGTTGTACTCCACGTGGACACTGCTTTTGAGGCGCCTCAAAAACATGACACGGCAGGAGGCCTACGATGACATGGCAGGAGGCCTACGATGACATGGCAGGAGGCCTACGATGACATGGCAGGAGGCCTACGATGACATGGCAGGAGGCCTACGATGACATGGCAGGAGGCCTACGATGACATGGCAGAAGGCCTACGATGACCGCGTTAAATTGTCGCTGGAGGAGCTTGCAGTGCGGGCGACGTTGTACTCCGCGTGGAAGAAGCGCAGCAGAATGGCTTTTGAGTCGACTCAATCAAAGTTCACAACTGTGAGCAAGGCAGGAGGAGGCCTACCATGAACCTGTTGAACTGTGGCTGGAAGATCTTGAGGGTGATGTTGTACTCCACGTGGAAGCGCAGCAGAATGGGCCAGCCGCCCAGCGAGCGGAACATGTGGCGGTAGCTCGCCACCATGCTGAAGAAATCGTATCCGTACGATATGATCCCCACCACCCTCTGCCATGGGAGGATGGAGGGGGACAGGAGGGGGAGGGAGAGGGGAGGGGATGACGAGGTGGAGACGGGAGACTGTAAGGCTAGATATGAAAGACGGACCTCCGCCAGTTGTCCTGCTGCCAGTCTAACAATGCCAGAGGATGGAAGAGGTAAATTGTGAGGACGGATTCTCTAGACAGCAACAAGAGACGGGGCTGAGCAGATAACGTGCAAGAATGGGTGTGCGGGAAAGAAATGGCGAGTGAGTGAGTGACACCCTCCTGGCACCTTGCTGGTGAGGCCGTGCATGCATGCAGGAGGCGAAGCGATGAATGCATTGATGGATGCATGCAGGCGTGGATGCACATGTAGGGGACAGGCAGACATATGGGACAGCCACATGGCACCACACCGTAAGACAATGAATTCGTATATGGAAATCCATGGAGAGCATTTACTGCCACATGTCACTGCAGCAGCACACCACACTATACCCCATGGCAATGCACTTCACTTCACACCGCATTTAAACAAAAATCATGCCGCGTTCCACCTTGCCCACACCGCATCACACCGCACTCCACCTGCTAATATTCAGGTTCGGGGCGAACATGCTATGCTAGTGTTCGGGGCAAGCTTTCTCCCCACTCTTCTCTCGCTCCTTCATTGTACTGTATAGCCTTTTGGCCCCTTACTCAAGGCAACGATTATCATTTTTAACACTCACCTCACCACCATGCACTCACCTCACCGCCATGCACTTGCCTCACCACCATGCACTTGCCTCACCGCCATGCACTTGCCTCACCGCCATGCACTCACCTCACCACCATGCACTTGCCTCACCACCATGCACTTGCCTCACCACCATGCACTTGCCTCACCACCATGCACTTGCCTCACCACCATGCACTTGCCTCACCACCATGCACTTGCCTCACCACCATGCACTTGCCTCACCACCATGCACTTGCCTCACCACCATGCACTTGCCTCACCACCATGCACTTGCCTCACCACCATGCACTTGCCTCACCACCATGCACTCACCTCACCACCATGCACTTGCCTCACCACCATGCACTTGCCTCACCGGCACAGCACACACTCACGGGCACGGCACACACTCACGGGTACGGCACACACTCACGGGCACGGCACAAACTCACGGGCACGTAGGGCAGCAGAGCGCGGGTGGCGAGTTGAGCGACATCGAAGCCGCGCACCACCGACTTGACCATGGGGAACTCCATGGCCCACTCGTAGTCGCTCGGGTTCTCCAGAAACATGGCCGTCGCGTCTGGCGTTGCCAGGGAAAGGGAGGGGGGGGGGAAGGGGGGAGGGGGGTTGGGGGGGGGAGGGGAGAGGTGGGAGGAGGGAATAGAAGAAAGTGAGAAAGAAAGGACGGAAGGACAGTGTTTTAAGGGCAGGCTGAAACGTGGGTAACCCCGCGGGTCAGGTTGTTCGCCTTCATCCCACTCACCATCACGTTTCCCCACTCACGCCCGCCCCACTCACGCCCGCCCCACCCATCGCTCCACTCACCCCCACCCCACCCATCATTCCACTCACGCCCGCCCCACCCATGACGGCACGGCACGCATGGCATGGCCCCACTCACTCACGCGCCATGATCTACCCCACTCACTCACGCGCCATGATCTGCTCCTCCTGCAACTTCACCGCCTTGCCCACTCCGGGTGGCCCCATGTAGAAGTCAATGGGCATCATGGGCACCTGCAGACGTGCAGGGGGGAGAGACACGGGCGACACGGGAGATGAGTTATGAGCCACCTCAGACATCAACCTGCGCACCCCTGCCACCTCAGACATCAGCCTGCGCACCCCTGCCACCTCAGACATCAGCCTGCGCACCCCTGCCACCTCAGACATCAGCCTGCGCACCCCTGCCACCAGGTGGCCCCATGTAAAAGTCAACGGGCATTATGGGCACCTGCGGTGCGGGAGAGACGGGGGAGAAAGGACCAAGGGGTTATGCGCGGCTGCAGGGATTGAACTGCACAGTGAGTTAAAGCGGAGGTAGAAGGGTGGGTACATGTAATTGAATGAGAGAGATGTGCATGTGGTGGGCGAACGAGAAGGAAGGTGATGAAAACCTGAAAGGATAGCTCCGGAGGTGTTTGTACCGTTTACAAGGGCACAGAAATCAGTAAGGTGCCTTAACAACGGATACTTGCCATTATTGCGAGCAAATTTGCTAGAGAGGAATCAAACGATCAATTCAGTGAGAAGATGCACGGAAGGAGAATGTACAAGCATGAACACAGGCATGAATACAGGCATGAATACAGGCATGAATACAGGCATGAATACAAGCATGAATACAAGCATGAATACAAGCATGAATACAAGCATGAATACAAGCATGAATACAAGCATGAATACAAGCATGAATACAAGCATGAATACAAGCATGAATACAAGCACGAACAGCAGTAGAAACAGCTAGCTAGACATGAGCATCGGGCTGATCGGCGGTTTCGCCCGCCGATCCGTGTGGTGCGGATCGGCAATTTTGGTGGCCAGCCGTGCAGATCGGAGCCAGTACAAAAAGTCGGGCTGGCAGCTAAGTCGGGTCAGGTCCACCCACCCCCGACGGATCCCTAATACCCGACAGGAAACCTAAATTTCGGGTCTCAAGTCGACCCGACCCAAGACCAATAAGCCGACCTGTTACCCCCGGGTCTCCTAATTTTGCAACTTGACCCAACAGGAGATAAAACCAAGATGGGTCGGGTCATTATGCACTCATGTCTAGAATCAGCAGAACACGACGAGCATGCATATGGCACCTGATGGGGCATGGCATGGGCGTGGGTATGGTACTATGGTACCTACCTGGTCCAGCATGACTCCTACCTGATCCAGCATGACTCCCACCTGGTCCAGCATGACTCCCACCTGGTCCAGCATGACTCACACCTGGTCCAGCATGACTCCCAGGATGCCCAAATCCACCACCAGCCTGGGCGGAGGGAAGGCAGCAGAGGAATGAGAGGCGCTAAGTGGGCAATAAGGCGAGCAGGCAAGCAGGCACGCACGCAAGAAGGCATTCAGGCAAGGAAGTAAGGAAGAAAGGAATTACGGGGTCAAGGGAGCAAGGAGGCGAGGGAGCAACGGAGTAACGGAGCAAGGGAGCGAGGAGGCAAGGATCAAGCAGCAAGGGAGCAATGAGAGGGGAATACAAGGAGGCGAGGGAACAAGGGAGCGAGGGAGCAAGGAGTGAGAATGCAAAGAGGCAAGGGAGCAAGCAGCAAGGGAGGAAGCAGCAAGTGAGCAAGCAGCAAGGGAGCAAGCAGCAAGGGAGCAAGCAGCAAGGGAGCAAGCAGCAAGGGAGCAAGCAGCAAGGGAGCAAGCAGCAAGGGAGAAAGCAGCAAGGGAGCAAGGAGAGAGGAATGCGAGGAGGCGAGGGAGCGGGGCGCACGGGGCGGCAAGGCGGAAGAAGCCTTCATCCTTGTTGGGCAGCAGCAGCTTGTTGTGCATGCTCCACCCCGCCCCCACGAAGAACAGCACCACTCCCTTGTGCGCCCTGCTCATGCGATCCGGTGCCTGCCGGGCATGGCACGTGGGGGGAAAGGGATGGGATGCGACACATGATATGATATCAGGTCATCGATTCAAATAATAGTACACGAAACGCAACATGTCATGACGAATCATATCACAAGACATAGTATCATATCATATCAACACATATACATCACATTATCATATGATCAACTGTCTCTGCAGACTGCATGACATCAGAGTTGACACGAGGTTGCAACAAAGTCGCCAGACCCATAGCACAGCACACGACAGAGCAGAGGCACACGAGCGGCACGTGAGAGGCACGTGAGAGGCACGTGAGAGGCACGTGAGAGGCACAGTTGAGGCACAGTTGAGGCACAGGAGAGTAGCGGAAGCGAGGGCAGAGAAGAGGGCAGCTGAGAGGGCAGAGGAGAGGGCAGGGGAGAGAGGTCAGGGGAGAGAGCGCAGGGGAGAGAGCGCAGAGGAGAGGGCAGGGGAGAGGGCAGGGGAGAGAGCGCAGAGGAGAGGGCAGGGGAGAGGGCAGGGGAGAGGGACGGGGAGAGGGCAGGGGAGAGCGCAGGTACCATGAGAGTCATGAAGTGCCACCAGACGTGGCGGTTGGTGGCGGACCTATTGAGCCAGCGGTGCAGCGTCACCTCCAAAATGTACCCCGTCCACCGCCCCCCCTTCTCCCGCCCGCGCATGCGCTGCCCCGTGTCCTTCCACCTGCGGAGGGGGGGGAAAGGCGGGGGGGGGGGGGGGGGGATCGGGGGGGAGGGGGTAGGGGGGGAAATGGGGAAAAGGGGTGGGGGGAGGGTAGGGCACGGGGATTTGTTGAGCCAGCGGTGCAGCGTCACCTCCAGGTTGTAACCCGTCCACCGCCCCCCTTTCTCCCGCCCGCGCATCCGCTGCGCCATGTCCTTCCACCCGCGCGCGCAGGGGGGAGGGCGGAGGGGGGAAGGGGGGAGGGGGGGAAGGGGGTTGGGGGAGAGAGGGAGGGAGGGAGGGGGAGGAGTAAGCGCGCGCGAGAGCAGTAACGCGTGGGGAGGGACGCGGTGCGTGGGGGAAGCGGCGCGTGGGACAGCGACGGGGGTCAGCGGTGGGGGGGACAGCGGCGCGTGGGGACAGCGGCGCGGAGGGACGCGGCGCGTGGGTCCAGCGGCGGGGGGGGCAGCGGCGCGAGGGGAATGCAGCGCCGTCGGGCGCCGCCCTCATGCGTGATTCAGGAGCCCCCGGAGCGGCAAGCACAGGGGTGGGCACGCACATTAAAACCCGGAAAGCCTTGAAGGAGCTCCGAGGAAGCTTCGACGAATCGCGCACCTGAACTCCGCGTCGTGTTTGAGGTACACGTGTCGGTCCAGCAGCGTCCCCGTGCAGTTGCGCGCCGTCTCGCACCCGCTCTGCGGCAGCGCCGTCGCCTGCCGCTCCGGCTCCGCGGGACGGAATAAGAACGCGGGACGCGTCAGCAGCGCTAATACGTAGACGAAGGAGAGCACTATAGCGAGTACGACCAACCGACCCAGGATTCTAGAAAGGCCGCGGGGAAGGTGGCGGTGCGGCCGGGCGGCACTGGGATCGTGCGGGCGCGACATTTGGCGTTGCGAGGGTTTTTTCAGATAAAGCACCTCTTCGCCTCGTGCAAAGGTTCTACCCATCACCAAAACCAGGCGCGCCTAACCTAACACTCTCAATACTGTACATCCAGGTCGGATCGGTAGTCCTACCCGGTACACGTGCTACCGGGTGGAGCGATGCAGCTAGGTACTGTAGCAGGCACTACCCGGGTATGAACAGTGGATTACGGCCAATGTCTGAAATTTGGCAAGGGACCAATCAATTCTACACGCGGCAACTCGCCAGGTGTTCAGGGTTGACCCCTCCCCAAGTCCCTTTCGTTTGCCTACGGGTACGTGTACAGTAAATGTTCTGTAGTGGGTGCTCTTGACTTCACGACGGGTGAAACTTCGGTTGTTTACGGTTTACGGAACACTGTATGGGCTGGTGAATAGCGGTTCACTGTTACGGGTGCAATGAATCGAGGTAGCGAGGATTGCACTAAGGTGTCAAAACAAGTACAAAATGTGAGCGAAGGCATGAGTGAACATTTATACGCGAAACATGCAAACGGTAACGCGGCGCGTGCGAGCTAGCTAGTGCTACGCTGGCGCGAGGTTCGGGATAGTCCCGAAGCGTAGGCCGACTCGGCTGCTCCAGCAGTGCGAGGTTTGGTGAAAACAGTGCGCGCGATGTTGGCGAAGCCCCGTTAGCAGTAACGGGCGAACAACGGCTGTTGCTGTACGCGATGTTGCGGGCTGCGCTAAGGAATGTCGAGAAAATTCCTTACACTACCCCCCCCCCCCCTCAAGAAGCCCCCTCCGCTACGCGAGTGCGTGTATATCGCGGAAACCCCGGCTCCTCAGGTACACTTGCAGGGCAGGGTGGTTTTCGATGTTGGCCAGGGGCACCCAGCTATCCTCAGTTGGCGTGCGGTCCTTCCAGCGAACGAGGAATTCAATTTTCCTGATTCCCGTGGGGTGTCGAATCCGATGGCTCAGGATCTTTTCGGGCTCGACGATCGGCTCCGATGCAGGGCGAGTCATGGATGGCGGGCGGTGACGAGGCAGTTGGCTTGTGGTTGGGATGTAGGGGCGAAGTAGGCTGACGTGGAATGATGGGCTAATGTACCAGTCTGTCGGCAACAGTAAGTGGGCTGTCACTGGGGTAATCATGTGGCTGATTTGGAATGGTCCACAGTAGCGGGGTCGTAATTTCGGTACGACGGGCAGTCTTAAGTTCTGTGTATCGAGCAGTACGTAATCGCCTGACTGGTACGTGACTGGGCGGCGGTGGCGGTCAGCGTTGCGCTTAGCGATGACATTTGCTTTTTTAATTACTTCAGCGGCTCTGGTGCGGGCAGCTTGCAGAATTTCGGCGAATTGCTGTGCACGTGGCGTTGGGTTGTCCGGACTCGGCGTCATGGGCACTGTAGGGTTTTGCTCGTAGTTCAGGTAGAATGGGGACTGCTGCGTCGTTGCTGGCGTGGCGTTGTTGTACGCGAACTCAATCAGCGGCAGCTGCTGCTCCCAAGTTGTCGGGTCGTCGCACGTGGCACGAATCAAATGCTCCATCGTCTGATTCGTCCGCTCCGTTTGACCGTCGGTCTCGGGGTGGTACGACGAGCTGAACTGTAGCCTGGTCCCGAACTGCTCCCAGAGGTTCTTCCAGAAATTGCTGGTGAACTTCGTGTCGCGGTCGCTGATTATCGCGGCTGGTATCCCGTGTAGTCGAACGACGGTTGCGATGAACAGGCGAGCGGTTTCTTCGGCTGAGATCGATTTCTTGCACGCAGCGAAGTGAACCATTTTCGTCAACCTGTCAACGACGACCATAACCGCGTCGTTACCCCTAGGGTTCGAAGGTAACCCTGTGACGAAATCCATGGTAACCTGCTGCCAGGCGCGCTCAGGCGGTGGAATCGGCTGCAACTGACCCGCCTTTCTTTTTCGCGAGCTCTTCATCACCTGACACGTAGGACACGAGCCCACGTGGTGCTGTACGTCGGTCAACAGCTCCGGCCAGTAGTAGTACCGCTGCAGTTGCTGTCGCGTTTTTTCTACCCCGAAATGGCCCGAGGTAATCCCGTCGTGTGCCTGCTGCAGTAACAGTTCCCTCAGTAGTGAGTACGCGGGTACCCAGATGCGATTGGTGCCTGTTTTTACGTAATAAACTCCTTTTGCTTCAGCCAGTTGCTGTGAATTTCCGGTCGTGAAAAATGGGTCGGTGTTGTATCCGTGGGTGAATAGGCCAGTTAGCAGTGGGTTGGTTTGGGCGAGTAGGATGGCGTGGAGTTGGGCGGTGGGGCGTGTGAGTGCGTCGGCGATGTTGGATGCACCTTTTTTGTGCGTGACGGTGTAGTGGAAGTTGGACTCCAGATAGTCCATCCAACGAATCTGTCGCGGGTTGAGGTTCGGTTGGGCGCGAAGGTACTGTAGTGATCGGTGGTCTGTCCGTACTGTCACGTCTGCTCCCGTGAGGTAACATCGCCACACTTTGAACGCGTGTTCGATCGCCAACATCTCGCGGTCGTGTATCGGGTAGTTGCGTTCGGGCGGGTGAAGCTTGCGGGACTCGTACGCGATTGGCTGGAGGCCGTTCCCGAAGTCCTGCAACAGTACTGCTCCCACAACGATGTCGCTAGCATCGGTGACGAGCTCGAACGGACGGTGCGAATCTGCGATGTGAAGCACAGGTGGCGAGCACAAAATTTATTTGAGGGCCGAGAAGGCAGCATGCTCTTTCTCCCCCCACGTGTACTCAACCCCCTTCCTCAGCAGGTCGGTCAACGGGGCAGTCAACTTCGCCATGTCGGGGACAAACCGGCGCACGTAGTTGACGAACCCCAGAAAACTCTGCAACTCGGTCAAGTTTGTCGGCGCGTGCCATGCTTGAATCGTCGCGATCTTCTTCGGGTCTATTTCCACTCCTTCAGCTGAAATAATGTGTCCCAAAAACTCCAGGCGGTCCTATAAAAACTCACACTTAGAAGCTTTGGTCAGTAGGCGGTTCTCACTCAGTATTTAAAAAACTGCTTCGATGTCCGGTAAGTGCTGTGCGCGGTCGGGGCTGTAAATCAGTATGTCATCGAGGTATACGATGACGCACTTATCTAAGAGCGGGCGGAAAGCTTCGTTCATTGTCATTTGAAAAGTGGCGGGGGCGTTGGTCAGTCCAAAAGGCATGACGGTGTATTCGAAGGATCCGTAGCGTGTTCGGAAAGCTGTCTTGGGGCAGTCGGGTGGGTTGACGCGAATCTGGTGGTAACCTCCTCTAAGGTCGATTTTCGAGAAAACCCGGGCTGTGCGCAGTTGGTCGATCAGTTCGTCAGCTCGCGGGATGGGGTAACGGGATTTAACGGTAACCCTGTTCAGTGCCCTGTAATCTATGCACATGCGAAAACCCCCATCCTTTTTCGGCGTGAACAGTATCGGTGCTGCGAAGGGTGACGAACTCGGGCGAATGAACTCTTTTTCGAGCAGGTAATCCAGCTGCTTCCTTAGTTCGTCTAGTTCGGGTTGGGTGCCCCCGGTTCTAGTTCTATCCTGTGGTCGTGCGGTCGCTGAGGTGGCAGTCCCGTCGGCAGATCGTCCGGAAATATGTCACTATACTGCTTCAGGAGTGCTGCCAGGTCATCCGGTACGTCGGTTAGCAGTTTATGTAAATCCCCCCCTTTGTCTTCTACCTCTGCTTCCCGAATGTCAATCGCGTACACGTCAGCTCCTGCCGCTACGGCGCGCTTCATTGTGATCGCGTTGACACGCACCGACGAAGACTCAGGCGAGCCCCAGCGAGGTAAAGCGATGTTGTTACCGTTCACTCGCACAGTGCAGTCACCCGTCGTCCCGTCGATTCGCGGATTGTGTCGTCGCAGCTAATCACGACCGAGTAAAATGTCGGTTCTGTCGAGGGTTGTCGCGAGCATTTCCTGGCTAAACGTGAAGTTACCCCCGCATCGAATCCGAACCCGGTCTACGCGTTCCCGTATCGCCAGTGGCGTGCCGTCAACCAATCTTGCATCGATCTCAGGTAAGCATCTGTCCAGTGGCAGTTTCAGTTTCCGTGCTGTGGCAGTGTTGATGAGGCTATGGCTGGCTCCCCCGTCTACGAAGATTTTAACCAAGTCTGTCCCGATTTTCCCACTAAGCAGTATGGGGCTGTCTACCGTAGTACCCTCCTTATTCGGCCGGGTGTGGTCGATTGCGTGAACCGGCACAATCACTCGGTGAGGGTCGGTTGGGTCGGGCGAGCAGCGTGCCCTGTCAGTAGAGGGCCCGTCTGCTACTGACTCCCAGCGTTTCCCTGCTGCTTGGTCTGTTTCTGCTGCTCAGCTTCCCCCTTTCCCTTAGCGTTTTCCGGGCATTCGCTCTTACAGTGTCCCGGCCGATTGCACGCGAAGCAGCGCCCTTTGAACGGTGCGGCAGCGGCATTCGCGGCGACGGCACGTATCGTAGCGCCCTCGTTCGTCCCACGAGACTGATGTCCCCAGTTGTTGCTTCCGTAGGACCCCGGTCTCGGTCGGCGGAAGAAATCGAGCTTCTCCGCCATGGCGAGAATCTCCTGGAAATCGGTGACGCCGCGAAGCTGGATTTCCTGAGCGATGTCGTGCTTCAGGCCGCCGATGTAGCGGTCGATGCGCTCGCTCTCGTGCATATAACCCACTTGCTCGCATAGCGCTAGAAACCCACTCGTATAGTCCTGGACGGAACCGAGTTGGCGCCAAGTGCGGAGCTTCTGTCGCGCCGCGATCGAAGCCGCGATTGGCTCAAACCGAGCGCGCAGACCTGCGCACCACGCGTCCCACGTGCGATATTGGGGCACCTCCACGAAATACGACGGCGCCCAGGGTCCGGTTTGTCCTTCCCGTGTCGGTAGAGTCGCGTAGTCCACCGGCTTCGTGACGATGACCCGCTACCAGTCCATGGCGGGTCCTCGCAGCAACGACACGGCGTAGCGGATTTTCGCCGTATCCTCCGAGACGTAGTTGGCGTCGAAGAAACGTTCAACGTGAACAACCACGCCTGAACGGTAGGACCAC